AAGAGCTACAGTAATTTGTTAGCAGTCCCCATCAGGTGCCTCCTCTCCCATCTCCAGTATCCTTTGCCCACCGCAGCCCCACCGATCAGTGCCTCCTCTTCCTTCCCCACGCCTCCTGCCCACTGCAGTCAACTTTTTCATGGCACTCAGGAGGCTCTGTGGGGAAGGGAAGGAGTGAGGGTGCAATACGCTTGGAGGAGGTGGAGCCAGGAGTTGAGCACTGGAAAGTTGGCACCTGTAGCGGCAGTGCTTGAGCTTCAGAAGAGCCACAGGTTGGTCACACCAGCTATAGCTTCTCCGAAGAAGAGGAATAAAACTTAAGGGTGATGGGGCTAGTGGATTGGTTTTCAACCATTTTTCCTCATGACCCAGTTGAAGAAAACTGTGGATGCCCGTGACCCAACATCATTTGACTAGAGTGTGGGCTCCAGGATGGGGCTGAGGATGAGATCTTTGGAGTGTAGGAGGGGGGGCTCTGGTTTTTGGAGGTGGTCAGGAGGGAATTACCCTGAGTGGCTCCCTGTCAGTGGTCCAGTGGGGGTGCTAAGACAGGCTTCCTGCTTCTCCTGGCACTGCAGACCTAGCATGAGATTGAAGGGTGTGGTTGTGGCTGGTGAAGTGTTCTGGTTGGGGCTGTAAGATAAAGCAGACCTTATTTTATAATTTCTTATATAGCTTCTTCCATTATATGACTGTTGAAAAACTGAGACCAAATTCTTAACCAATGAAAAGCTTTATTGTAAGTATAGACAAGCACTGTCAACACCTAACAAATTTTAAAAATGAGGTTTTATGATTGACGTTTTCCATTTTATGACACACAGAACAACAATCCACACACCCTACTGTGTCTGATTAGAGCTAAAAATAATAGCTCTTTTTGGTTGTTTCACAGCTGTATTAATCCTATCAGATGCATTAGAAGTACAGTCTAAACTGAGTTCTACCTTAATGGACGGGAGTAATGACTGAGCCATGATATCCCATTCCAATGCATAGGTCAGAGGATGTGAATAGTTTGTTGGTCCACTGGCAAAGCACACAAACTGTTTCAACCATATCCACTCCACCATCAATGCTCCATCCAGTCTGGCCAGTCATGTAGCTTTGCTACAAGGCATGCAGCATTCTGAGGGATCTTCTTTCATGGCTTCCTGGCTTCCCTAGGCTGTGGATTCCCTGTATTCCTATTGCATTTTATACTTGTTCTGTCACAACAGCTAGGAAGAGTGCACAAGATTTTGCCTTCTGTTTCTGTGGTTTTGCTATAGATTGTGTAATGTACCTGCAAATATGATTTGCATGATTAATAGTTGGCAAAAGTAATCTGTTTAGACTTCTAATTTATATCATCTACTGTAATTGTAAATACATTCCATTCTGCTTCATTTCATGAATAGTACCTTGTGGTTCTAAAAATGTTCTTTATTGAAGAGTTATAAATGTTGACTTATAAATGTTGACTATAGACTCCTTCCGGGTGACTTGTTTTCCATGGATTCTTAACCAGATTCTCTGTTTTTGCTGAGCAGTGTTCAGCAAAAGAATAGAAGAGTTTGACCAAAGCTAACTTTCAGACAACTTTTTGTCTCTTCCTGTACTCTCTGGATGACCAGGAGTCAGTTCAGTCCTCTGCATAAATTGGAACAGCCTTGAGGCTGCTCTAACTCTTACAAGTTGTTATAGCCAGGAAGATCTGAAATGCAGCATACTCTATTCAAGCCCCTTGTTCTGCCTAAGCCAAGGTCTGCCATCCTGGCAGATCTTTGCTATCTGGGGCATCTTTGTATGTGAAGGGTAATCTTTTGGGATGCATGTCTCTCCTCATTGTGTTGAGAACAGAACAGAGAATCTGCCATTCTGTACATAAGTGAACAATTTTCTTCCTGTAGTATAATTTTGTTACCAGTCATTGGAAATTAAACTTAAAAAACAAATGGTCTGCTAGCACTTTATAGACTAACAAAACAATAAGATGGCATCATGAGCTTTTGTGGGCACAGCCCATGAAATTGTGCTTGACAATAAACATTTAGTTCTAATTGGTTATGCTGGTTTTGTCTGGTGTAATAGACCACTTTTAGGGTATGTCTACACAAAGTTATTTCGAAATAACTTTACCAGCGTCTACACAGCCAAACTATTTTGAAATTAAATCAAAATATTGGAGAGCTTCTTTTGAAATTGGTAAACCTCATTCCACGAGGAATAGTGCCAGTTTTGAAACTGCTATTTCGAAATAAGCACTTTGTAGACGCTTACTTTGAAATAGGTGGCCACTCTGGGCACAACCAAGAAAACTCTTCTCCCTCCCCCGCTCCCTGGAACCCTTAAAGGGGTAGACTCTGGCCACAGTGCCTGTGCCAGCTCCAAGCCTGCCAGACCAGAGCCAGCTTTTGCTGCACCTGCTGCAGTGGCCCCAGCATGAGTCAGGCAGCCAGTGCCAGCCAGCCCCCTCCCCTCCCCCCATCGTTTCCCCAGGAGCAATCTGCCAGCTCCCAGGAGCCTGCCAGGGGTCAGAAAAGGTGGGTGCCTGCCCGTTCCAGTGCAGAGATCAGGGACCCAATTCAGGTTTGGGGGATGCCTCCAATGTCCATGATCTCTGCACTAAATGGAGGAACGCAACTGTCTACAGGCAGATGGCTGCCAGCCTGGCCACCAGAGGCCACATGAGAATCCAGGAGCAGGTTTGCATGAAAATGAAGGAGTTGCAGCAGACGTATGCCAGGGCCACGGGGCAGCTCCCACCCAGGGGCAGACCCAGTCCCCTGGGCCTATTTTGATGCCATGGACCGCATCCTGGTGGGCAGGATGGTCCGTGCCCCCCAGGTGGTCATCAATCTTGGGGCAGAGCTTGCTACTCCAGCCCATGTTACCTCCCTAGCTACCACTCCGGCTCCCACTCCTTCCTCCCCCCACCCCAGGAACACCGAGACCCCTGCACCGACAGTACTGAGATACAATTGGGCTGGCGAGGCCCTGAGCTTTTCCTCCCCCTGCCAGCTCCCTTCTCCCAGGTTTTCCCCCCTCTCTCTTCCACCTTCTTTCCCCAGTCGCACCTCAGTTTCATTCCCCCCCCAGCTCAATAAAGAGGCTTTGTTGTAATGAACACGTGTGGTTTTTTATTATACATCAGGAAGGGGGTTAGGGAGGGGTTAGTGGAAGGATGAGGGAGGAATGAGGCACAAGCCCCCAGTGGGGCACACCAGGGAGACTGTTCCTGTCTGCAGAACATGCTGCCAAGCTCGCAGCAACATGTCTAGGAGAAGCACCAGAGTGCCATGGGGCAGCTCTAGCTCCATGCTGCAGAGTGCTGTGGTGTCCTGAGTGAGGGAAAAAAATGCTTTGCTGTCCCTCAGTGAGGTAGGTAGGCAAGCAAGCAGGGAAACCTTAGAACCAGCTATCCGGGGAGGGTCCCTTTAAGCACAGGTCTCAGCCTCAGGCAGCAGCCACACAAGGTAACCTTGACCTGATGCACTGCCAGAACCGGTTCGGACAGCCTTAAATGCGATTCAGCATCCAGTCAGTGTAGCGTTTTGCTACTTCAAAATAGCATGTCTATTTCAAAATGCATTTTGTGTCTAGACGTGTTATTTCAAAATTAGCTATTTCAAAATAACGCTGTAGTGTAGACATTGAAGTCAATGGTCGAATTCAATGGTCAAACTCCTGTTGATTCCAGTGGGACCAGGGTGTTATCCTGCACATTGAATCTCAATCCCATTGAGAGAGGTGTGATCTCAGTGATGTTGCACCAGTTTTACAGAGTGGAGAATCAGGCCTGTCATGTTTTCCACAAAACCAGATCTTTACTGCAGCAACTTTAAGAAGATAACATCAGTTTTTGGATATACGCTTATAGCTTAGAGCAATATTAACCTTCAAAGAAGCTCCATGGGGGTGGTGGTAAATTCATTCCTCATTTATGCTGCTGATGTTCTAGTTTTCATGGTGGATTTCATTGGATATTGTTTTGCTGCATGATTCTTTTTTCCTTTCCAAAGTAGCTACACTTTTTTTTCTTGCTGTAGCTTGAGCTGAATTTATGTAGAATGCCTTCCCTCCCCCGAAGTATGTGCTTTCACAAATCACTGATTGATGGATATTTGAACATTTAGTGTACACAATATTTTTGGAAGGTACTAATCAGTTTACTGTCTTGTGCTTGGCAAGTTCCCGCCAACATGCTTCACGCATGGGTTTTTGTCCTACTTTTGATCCTACCTGCAGCACTGGGATTCACTTACAGTAGCTATAGTATATGGTGGCCTTAAAGGGATAAGTGTTGCATCAAGATTTTTTTTCAAGGCTGAGGTGCTCTGTCTCTGAAGCAAGTTTTTTCTCCTGGTTAACAGCAGGCCCTAATCCAACTGCAGATCAAATGCTTACATATTTTAGTGATAAGTTTTTTGATCCAAAACTATTTGTGGACACAACTGCATACACAGAAAGCATCTAGGTAGAAGCTATATACAACTCAGGTGTTTAATATGCATTATTAAATGTATGTGTAATAATAAAACTAATGCGGTCATTAAAATTTGTTTTTCAATTCTATAGTCAGATGCTGGTTTTGAAAACAGGAAGACTAATATTTTAAATTCTAGTATAGGTTGAACCTCTCTAGCCCAGCACCCTCAGGCCCTGGCCCGTGTCAATCCTGAGAATTTGCTGAACCACAGGAGGTCAATATTGTCTAGTGGCGTTACCAACACTTCCACTGCTTGCTGGGCTCTTAGAAGACATTTAGGAGTAAATTAGGGCTAAATAACAGCACAGAACACAGAGCCAGGACTGGTGGCTATAAATAAATTTTATGGGACTGCAAGAAACTTGGCTAAAGCCTAAGTGGACAACTGACTAACTAAAATCATGCTGGTCTATGAATTTTGCCAGACCAGAGTGCTGAACTAGAGAGGTTCAGCCTGTGGTTTAAGTTTGTACAATGAACAGAATTATATTGTATTTAATATGGAGCTGATGTCTTCCCTATTTTGCAGGTTTTGCTGATCTTTGCAAAGGAAGACAACCAAAGTAATGGATTCTGGTGGGCTTGTGATAGAGCTGGGTACAGGTGTAGTTTTGCCCGAACACCAGAGTCAGCACTTGAATGTTTTCTTGATAAGCACCATGAAATAATTGTCATAGATCACAGGCATTCCAGATACTTTGACGCAGAAGCGATCAGCAGGTAACTTAATGGACCTTGTGCATCTATTGAATGTCACAATGCAGTGCAAAATACCACATTGAATGCGCATAATAAAATCAAGATATAATGACATACAAATAACAAGTTTGGAGACTGAGGGAAGGGATTGCAGTGCTCCATTATAAAGGGGGGGGGGGAACCTGCTGTGGTGGCTAAAATAGCAATAGAAAGAATTACATTTAGTATATAAAGACACCTGCATAGTCATGAGATCAAATTTGAAAGCTGTTGTCAGTGGGGCTGACATGTAAACAATAATTCCATTGTTTTGGGGTCACAGCTTCCACAGGATCTTGAACCAGACCTACCACAAAATTCTTCCTCAGTCTGTGGTCATCATTTTCAGACCTAGACGCTACTATGAGGAATTAATCTTGCACCAACAATTTGAGCAGCAGGGACTAATAGAGCACTGTCATTTGTCCCCTGGGTCTACAACACTTTGCTAACGGCACTTTAGTGAAGTTATGTCTGTCTTTGCATGTGTGTGGTACTGTCTCAAAGCTACTGCTTCTAAATTCATAACCATTTATAACTCTGATTCTAGGTTATCTTTTCAATGGTCTCAGTTTTACACATGTCATGCTCTGATTTTCATCAGACCATAATGGGCAAACCTTTGGCACGCTTATCCCAAGTAGTAGTTTACAATTAAAATAGTTCTGTTGATTCCAGTGCTCACAGAGTAACTTCTCACAGAGTAAGTGATTACCTGGTGGAATAAGGCATGGGCAGCTCAAGGCTAGTGTCAGGAGGGTGAGAGGGAGAGCCCCAGCCCAAAGCAGGAGGAGGCCTGGGGGCAGAGTGTGCGGGGCACAGCCTCCCCCAGCATATGATATACCTGTCACCTATGAAGTAAGGGTTTCTGAATCTTGTCTAATGTTAAAATATTCTCTTAAAACACATTATTTCTCATGCGTGTGCACACACACATTGAGGAAAAGTCTTGCCATACTTGATAATCTTATAATTCCAGTGTCTCAACAAGATGCACCTAGTGGTTGTTAGACCAATAGCAAAAGGCCTGTTTATTTTATGGTTTGCATATGGCACGATTTGTCAAAGCATGGTGTGATGTGTGACACAAACTTTTGTCCTTTCAGGTCAATCCGTGCTACAAAGCCATCGGAACACACTGTGATACTTGCTGTTGTTCCCCGCATGTAGGTATTTCTTTATTTTTGTGAATGTTTTATTCTGTTCAAGAAAATGTTTATGCCCAGCCAATAGTAATGTTTGCATGATGGGCAGTTTCATAGGCTGCAAGCTACTACTTGTAGCTTGTGTGGGCTATATTATCACTAGGAATGTTTGTTTCCTTTTCATGTAAAAGCAATCAGTTATGTTTTGTGTTAGGTTCATTTATTCTAGCTGATTGCAACTAAAATTATTGCTTATTGCATTTTCTCACTGAAGAGGGTCATAACACTGAATATCAGGAAAAACAGACAACTGTGATGGAAGTTTTAGAAAAAAAGTTGTTGTAGCAAATAACATCCTATGGTTGTGAGAGAATAGGGAGGGAATAATAAATACAAATATAAGAAAACGTAACTGTAACTTGATAGGCAGTTCCCACATTCAGTCGAACATTTCCTAAAGTCTTTACTCTGCTTTCAATCTTTGTTCTGTTTATACACACTGTTTACTTGGACAGAATTCCCATTGCCTTCAATTGACAGTGTTAGGACTGAGGGCCGCCTCCTGTAAGGCATTTGATTAACTTCTGTTATGTGCCAAATAAGCTTAGCTGCCTCTGAAATCAGAAAGCTCCTGGGGAAATTTAAGGGCATACAACCCTGTACAGAATTCTTCCCTAAGTATTGAACTTAGGGGTTTGACTTGTTGAGGAACACAATTAATAGTCATTCTCTTGGGGGGGGGGGATTACTAACAAAGCGCAGAATAATGAAGAGTCCATGACCTTTTGAAGAACTTAATGAAAGATCAGAAGATGGATACAAATTATATCATGTTATTGTTCCAAAGCAGTGCTGTCAAAACTGATCATGGCTCTGCATACTGTACAACTAAATGAAATGAATAATAATAACATATATCACTATTAATCTAGCTACTTCCTTTAGTTAGCTATTTTCCCCACCTACTTTAGTTGTTTTTTCTAGTTGTGAGACCAGGTAATTGTAACAAATATAAAAGATGTATTGTTCATTCCACTCCTTAATCAATAACTAGATTTAGTTATTTTCCTCTGTATATTCCTTTTATACCTCTTTATTAACCTTTCTTTGTAAAACCCTTCTCTTTATGTGAAAAGAGCCAGCACTTCTCTTGAACATCTATCAGGTTTACTGCAATGGTGATGAAGAAATAAGTAACTGTCCCCCAATATCTGTCCTGAGATGCTACAGTTAGTACATTGCTGTCACTACCAACCTACATCTTTGGGAAAGCTACATCTGCAAATGGATTACATGATATATACAGTCCTTATAATTTGTGCCACATTATTCTCTTACAGTCTGCTTAGATAACTGTCAAATTATCCTAGATTTCATTTTGGATATGTTCTGCTTTGCTGTAGATCTGCTGACCAAGAAGAGCCTTCTGTTCTTCCCCTTCTCCATGCAGGGTTCGATAGGGTAAGTAATTACTAAGGAATCAAGGCCACTTCTGTGAATACTTCCATCTTTTATTATTAAAAGAGTTTTTGAATGATTCATGTAAAGCACAAGCTTGCTTGTGTCACTAGTTAACTACACTCTGGTGATGTGAAGATAACTTCATCACATGCTCCTCCTCTGTGCTTACCTGGAAATATCTAAGTATGCGCCGTAAAAAAAATAAACAAGAGACCTAGCCAGTGCTTCTGATGGCTTGGGAACAATTCTCTGACAGGTGGCAGAATAAATACTATGCTATTAAGTGTCCTTTGCTGCTCCTTTGAAAAAGAACTAGCTTGTACCCCTGGCTTGTGTTGCATGTCCTCCAGCTATCCGCTTTCTAACTGGCAGCCCATTCTTACTTGGGGCACAAGGGGCCTAATCCAACTTGAACTGAAATCAATAGGTGTTTTTCCATTGTTTTCAATAGAGATTGAATTGGGTCCATTGTGTGATACTCGTGTCAACCTGCAGACTTTCTGGGTGCTCTGGACAGTAGATTCTGCCACCCTGCTTTCACAAAGGGAGTATGAAAATCAATGTCTGTGCCACCTTGTTCCCCATGGTACCTGCAGCTGAGAATTGAGAAGGTAGCCATGTAAGCAGAGAGTGGATAATCCAATAGGTCTAGCTATTGCCAGGGACTCTGGAGGCTCAGGTTCAATTCCCTGTTCTGTCACAGACTTCCTGTGTGACTTGGGCTGGCACTAAGGCTTTTTATACCTCAGTCCCCATCTGTAATTGGATCTGGTACTTCCCTGCCTCACAGGAGAGAGGTGAGGCTAAATGCATTGAGCACTGAGCTGCTCAGATGCTGTGGTTATGGGGGCCATACAAGTGCCTAAGACAGACGTCAGCCCCAAAGTTTGCAACTTTAATTTTCTTTTTAGTTTAGTGTATTATAAGTTTATTGTGTTTAATTCCTTGAGTCACATTCTTTACTATTAAAAACGTTTGTCTCTAGTTTGCCTTTTCTTGTAATGTCTAGTATTTTGTCCAAAGATTTCAGGACAATATGCTCTATAGGCTAGATTGTGACTTAATGTGCAGTCCTGAGCAAGGGGTGGTGCATAAGCACCCTAGAAGTAGTTGCAAGAAGTGCTCTGTGTGAGTCTGAGGCATAGTTCTGAATCATAATTCCCTGCCTGTGCTGGCCATTCTGCCAGCAGCAATCTGACCCTCCTTACGCTAGTTCAGCTGGACTGAATGGTGGAAAGGGAGGACTGAGCCAGAGTCTTGCCTATTCTCTCCCACCTGCCCCTGAGAGGGGAGCAAATGGGTATATTCACGTTCTCTGTCATGGCCAGACCTATGATAAGGGGTTCAGGAAGCTTCTTAAAACAGATGGGAAGGAGAATTTGAAATTTGGCTAACTTTCTGAAAGATCGTTATAAGTGTTTCATGATCTTCTGCCTTTTAGAAATGAATTAGATACTTCTTCATTATCTCTGAACGTCATCCATTAACCTATTTGTCATCACCATTTTCTCCTTATCGCTCTACTTATTTGTAATGCTGTCATCAGTACGTCAGCATGATGATATTGATTAGTACCACTGCCAATATCAACTTAAGACTGGAACCCACTGAATATCCTCCTGACATAGTTTGTTGCCATTATGACCTTCCTTATCAGCATTGTTTTCAAGTTCTAGAACATGTAAGATAGAAGTCTACTTCCGCACATCACAAGCAGAGTGGGAACATAACCATTCAAGCGTGAAAAAATGCTATCCACAGGCTCTAAATCCTTTCAAGGAAGAAAAAATCAGCATTGTACACATGCACAGATTTTTATCAGCAACAGAATGAAATCAATTTTTAGTTACTTATAATTTAATTAATCTCCTTTTTTGATAGCTTTATTTTACCATATTGTGACTTATTATAATGCTAACATGTGGCACCTGCCTTTTATCTACCCTTAACTTTTTTTCTTGGGAAAACACTATTTGATAGTGCTGTAACTTTGCTGCTGGTTGTGATGGTTGTCTGGATTTTTTTTGAACACATGTCAAATTTAAAAAACTAACCAAGAGTTTAATCCTGTATCCAATAGGGTTATTGATAATATTGAACTTATTTGTAAAATATTTTGAGAGCAATTAATGAAAAACTCCCTATAAGAGGTAGGTGTGTTCTAATTATAAATCCATGGTACACCCACACTTTGAATACTGTGTACAAATGTGGTCATCTCATCTCAAAGGTATTGGCATTGTAAAAGGTTCAGAAAAGGGCAACAAAATGATTAGGGGTTTGGAATGTGTGCCATATGAAGAGAGATTTAAAAGACTGGGACTTTTCATCTTAGAAAAGAGGATATAATAGAGGTCTATAAAATCATGACAGGTATGGAGAAAGTGAATAAGGAAAAGTTACTTGTTCCCATAAGATAAGAACTAGGGGTCACCAAATGAAATTAATAGGTAGCAGATTTAAAATAAACAAAAGAAAGTATTTCTTCAGGTAGTGCACAGTCAACCTGTGGAACTCCTTGCCAGAGGATGTTGTGAAGACCGGGGCTTTAACAGGGTTTAAAAAAGAACCAGATAAATTCATGGAGGTTAGGTCCATCAATACTAATTAGTCAGAATTGGTAGGAATGGTATCTCTAACCTAGGGTCAGCAACCTGTGGTTCCTGAGCCAAATGTGGCTCACTAGAGAGCCAGATATGGCTCTTTTGGACATCCAGCTCAGCCCGTGCAGCTCCCCTTCCCCCCCCTCCCACCGCAGCAGGGAGCTAGCACTGGTGCTACAGCCTTATGGCTCCCTGCAAGATTGGAATATCAGTACCAGCTACCTTTGGGGATTCAGGGGGAGAAAGCCCTGAGACTCCCAGCTGGATCCGGCGTGCAGGGAACAAGTGGAGTCAAAAATGGCTCCTTGTGCTGCTGTTTTCCTTCCCCTAGCTGGAGGGCACTAGCCTCACAGGGACACGCTTCTCCTTTGCTCCCATTGGCCAGAATCTTACACAGTGCCTGCGACGTGGCATAAAAGAAAGTGGCCCCTCCACCCCCTTACTCATGCCACTGCCCAGACCCCACGCTCCCAGCCCACTACTGCCCCCTCTGCCCTGGCCAGACACCCTACTCCCAACCTGCTCCTACACCCCCACCTCACCCCAA